GAGGAACGGTTTAGAGATGTGTGCCTTGTCAATAGGAAACGTTTGTGTAATTAGGTCTGAAAACCGGTGACAGGACAACTTTTTGCAACCAAGTGCCAAACGTTTCAGCAGATCTATCCCAGTCCTCCCAGTCCACGAGAACAGGTTTATAAGCTGCTTTCCTACACAATAAACGAGCTGGGGGGCAACAGACGGATAATGAGGAAGATGCTTTCTGTTTTACATAATCATTTGTCGAATATTTTATTCCATCATCTGAATGACAGCATATAAAACACTACTTTGGAATAGTTTTCACCTTTAACTAGAAAAGGAAAGTTACAATTTTCCTCTTTAAAAAAAAATCCAMCTCAGTCTAAAACGGGACATGGATGGACCAGACACAGACTGCACTTGTTGCGGTCCTGCAGGCAATTCATGCAGCCTCACAGGAACAGCAGCTATTTTTATCTGCAGGAGCGGTTCCCATGGACGCGTTCAGCCCCCAGACCCGAACCCTGCCACAAGCTTCAGACAGAACCGGCACAAAAACTCCAAAATAACTACTGAGAGCTGAAGCAAAGGTTTGTTTTCTGATGGGAGACGCTCATTTGCGGTTTGTTCACTAATAATAAGATTTACAATGATGTTTCCTAATTGAATCCGATTTATAAAGAGCTACCACATATGCTTATATTATTGGTTTACTTTAAATAAAACATCTATAACTTTACGTCGCTCAGGGTGGCTCTTAGAGACCTTTGCACCCTCACAGGACCAAAGAAACCCACTGACCCCGTTTGCCCCCCCTGACTAGGAGAGGGCAGGAATGAACTTTACCTCAGCTGCGGCCAGCAGGTACGACGTCCACAGCAGGAAGTAACAAAGTGCGGTTCTCATCTCCCTTTAATTCAGAGTCAAACCCAAACAGGAAAAATGCGCTAATGCTGCTGCTGCTGTGTAGGAGCCCCCGAGTCGCTCCTGGCTCCTGAGGATCCACAACCATCCCCCTCCCCGGGGGAGGAAAATAAACAAATAAAAACAACTGTAAAAGCGTCAGAGCAGCTCAGTCACACACCGCGCTGCACTTTGCTCATAGGGAAAGCCGAGGAGTTGGATCTGGCTCTTATTCACATCGGGGTTGCGTCCTGTTGAAGAAGCCCCGCGCTGCAGCACGACATGGTTCCTCAGGCGCGCGTCGGACAATTCCAAGAAACGAGCCAGGCGCGCGTTGCACTTGTCCTTCACCTCACATACAAAAAAAAAAAAAAAAAGGCTTCACCCCAGCGCACTGAGATGTTGCTCCTTTGTCTTTTTGGAAAACTGAACAAATACCTGCACAACTTTTTGTTCTCTCTCATCTAAAAAAAACAACTAACATGAAGATAATCCAAACTAAAAGAGGAGGAAAAAAAAGTCGTCCGCGTTGCGCTATCCAGAGGTCTTGCAGCAGGGTGGACAGGTCCTCTGTGTGTGTGCAGGACTCTGGAGTGAATGGTGTCAGAGCGCCTCTGAGCAGCTGAATATAGAGAGCCAGCAGCTCTGTGCCCGTGGCGCCTCCCCTCGCTTTTGGGTGATCGTGCATCTTATTCAGCGAGCAGAGCTGGTTGGTGGAGCTGGATGACTTAAGACATCCAAGGGCGCATTCCCACCCCCACACACCCCCTCACCCCATGTGAGTGATTGATTAAAACAGACTCCATTCAAACATTTCATCCACTATTCTTTTTAAATTCTTTAAGAGGACATTGTTGAGAACAAGTCTCATCTCATTTTTTTTTTCACTTTAGTGGATTCTACTAAATTGAACTAAAATGAATACAAATATAATTTTGTTTCAGCTACTTAGGAAATTCTTTTTTTATCAAAGTGAAATGGAAAAGAATATGTAAAGTAGGCTTGAATAGTTTGCCAAAGCAGCTGCTGGCCAAAGTTCAAACAAAACTTTACAATAATCTAAGAAAAGATACATTTTTATGTTAAACTGCACAAGAAGTAAATAATGTACACATCTCTCTGTCTGGGTCTGTCACTCCCTGACTGACAAGTTAATCGGAGGCTTACGAAAACGCAGACTGAAAAGTAAAACTCATGCAGTCGCTGTGCAAAAGCTGCAAGTCAGAAATGTAAAATTCTGAAAWTYTAAAAGGTAGAAAATTCTGATGGATACACACTTGAAATMTTATGATTAAGCAGTGTATGAGAAGTTACAAAAAACCTTTACTTCCAGTTTTAAAAATCGTATTTTGAGCTAAAATATAATTGAAATCTACAGAAGCTTGGCTGTGTGGGTTTTTCAGCATGAATGTATGGTTGTTGAGACATATTTGCGTCATATATGTGTGAACATAACCTGGTGTATGAAACAACCTCTGCTTTCGGACACAGGAAACAAAGCGAGCATTTTAACTGCAGGTTCATTTTCAACTGGTCCTGACTTGTAGTGTGGAACCTGGAGGTCTGCTTGTACTGAGAGATCCAGGGCACAGACAGACAGACAGACAGACAGACAGACAGACAGACAGACAGACAGACAGACAGACAGACAGACAGACAGACAGACAGACAGACAGNCAGACAGACAGACAGACAGACAGACAGACAGACAGACAGACAGACAGACAGACAGACAGACAGACAGACAGACAGACAGACAGACAGACAGACAGACAGTGCAAACACATTATCAGCCAGGGGTGAGAAGAAGGAGGGAGCCAGGTCAGCCAGCCAGGTGGTCCAAGCCTACACCTTGTCTATTCAACTGGATCAGTCTGCACAGGGGCACTGAGGCCTGAGGGCGCTGTGGCTGGAAACACTGCAAAGTGAAAGCACCACAGCAGATGGCAGAGTAATTAATGTAACAGGCTGGTGGAGCTCGTTTTAGAATGGTGCCAGTGCTGTAAAATGAATCAAACATTTTTACAACAAATTTCCCTCTGCTGAAGTAATTTATTGCATGTTGCTCCCATTGAAGCTTTTTCCCTAAACGGCATGGCTTCTGACCAATATTTTATTCTTTTTTTTAAGTTTGAAGCAGTTGCATGATGACTAAGGCTGTAGTAGACACCACATGATTACATCATAGGTATCTATCTTTCTCGGGACATCCCAGTGAATGACTCACATTTCTTGAAGGCGCATGCAGCTCATTATAAAAGGAAAGTGTTGATCTTCAGATTTTTTTTTAATTTGAGATACAAATGTGTGATGCTCATAAATAGACAAACAAAGAAAATGATGTGTATTATACTTAATGGCAAAACCTAATGTATAAAACTAATTCCCTAAAGATTTTCGAAAGCAAACCAAAAATCTTTTTTTTCTCCTCTGTTCTTTTTTCTGCATCAGCCAATAAACAACATGTTTACTGGCAACCAAGGCCTGTGTACCTAACAACATTAACCCTATTAAAATATTTTATAGATGCTGGTGTTCAGTTAATCTAGTGCTAAAGTCTTTGCAGAGAGAACACTGTGAGTAAGATGAGGACTCCTGTTTTGCCCCAGGGCTGCATCATTGCTGATGAGAGGCAAAGGAAAGCCGGAGACATTTTTTTAAGAATGTGGCTGCACGGCCTCTGGAGAGCTGACGTGAGCCTCTTAGTCAAGATAAAAAGTCTGTTTGAATCATCGATTTTCATTCGAGTGAGATCACTTGAGTTCTTTTGGCTTTGTTGTTTTATTTTTACTTTCAAAGCGGGACAGAAAGGATTTATTTTAGGTAGCTCTTAGTTTAATGCAGTGATGACTCTGTTTAATATGTTGCTATAAATGAACAAGGATAGAAATTAGAGGAGAAAAAAGGTTTACAAATGTTTTTGTGAAAGTTAGAGCAAGAAAAAGCTTTAATAAAAACAATTATCTTTGTTTACCTTTTACCTTTGTTTCTCAGTCTGCTAATAATTAACTTCTATTTTATAATACAAAAATAATCAACTTAAAATAACTGTCCTGGAGTTTAGGAAAAGCATATTTCTATCATTTTCAATTTTTTTTTTTTACAATTTACAACCAACTTTTTAAGAAAATTTGTGTGTGCGCCATTTAAAAACCTTTGAACTAAAAAAAAAACCAAAGCAAGCAGGCTTCTGCTGTTATTTTAACATGTGTTGGATAGGCTTAAGCCAGAATCCTCTGTCTCAGTATAGTAACCATTAGAACCCAAACATTATTAACTCAATCTCAGCTTGATCCCGACGCAGCTGCACTCTGACCGTGCAACAAAAGCAAAGAATCTCACACTTCAACGTGCAAGAGAACCATAAAAACATATCGCAGCTGACAATAGAAACTCTGTGAACTGATACGTGAGAGTAATTACTCTTTCGATTGCCGTATTTCCCTTTGATTGGAAACTATTCCATGTTTTCCACTGGGCATCCCAACTCTTTGACACCTCATAATCTCACAGACTGAGCTGATTGTAGAATGGATTGCCTTGCGACAGAGAAACAAACACAGCTTAACTCAGTGTGCATGTGCCCCCCCCCCCACCACACACACACACWKCTTGCAGCCACATATTGCATGAGTCACAATCTCATGGAGCAGGCCCTTTGTAGACTGAGTGAACTCTTTCTTCCTCCTCAGGGTAGAATTAGTCTTTGCTAATTTGAACCCTAATCAACTCATCTGTGTTCATGATGACAAAGGTGATCCCATTAGAGGGTTGTGTCTTGATGTTTTTACAAATTTTACAAGGGCTCTTTTAATGCACAAATTAGAAACAGCGGTAGCATTTATGGTTGGGTTACTCATGTGCGCACACACACACTGACTTTAAATGGGCAAGTCACTCAGGTGAGATTTTCCAGGAACAAAGGTGCATTCCACAGGCTGGTAGCAATATAGATTGGACTTGGAAATAATCCAGAGCAGAGTGCATATCCAGGGCAACCTTTTTTGCACATAAACAATCAATGGAGCAGCACACATATTTACACCGAGAGGACTCCAACACACACACACATACACACACACCCTTGCTTCTTGTTCAAATTAATGTTGAGTAGTGCCAGGAAGAAAAGTATAGCAGCCATACTTACAACTGGTCCTGGACACAGCTGCTCTTTTATAGAGACGATTACTGGCAGCCATTTTCAAGACTTTATATGTCTAACGTGTGTATCAACCTGAATGAAAGGGGGGCTTTAGGACCCCTTTTCTTTCAAGGTAAGCAGCCATTTGGGGGCACAATACCCCACTGCTTTTTCATGAGTCACAATATCATTTACAAATCTACCCCTGGGATTAAAAGAAATGACGGCACATGCACACGTAAAAAACTGGTGGTACAAGGTATGCAAGGCACATTTCCAGCTGCATCACATTATACATTGCTGCAGCACATTTGAGTTGTTAAGGGACCGCAGCATCCTCCTTGTGTGATCTTCAGATCTGTCTTAATGTGGTCTGGTCTTGTTATAATCCTGCCTTGACTTTTTCACCACACACTTTCATGGAATATATCCTTAGAGTATTATAGGTGGTCAAAGAAAAAGACAAATGTTTCCTTGCAAAGCTGGCCGAAGAAATGAGCTCTTGACCACAAACGTCTAAAGAAAGCAACAGGCAGCAAGCGTCCACTCCAAGAAATTCCATTTAAGGGTTAAAAGTATGAACTAAATGAGAACTTGGGAACACTAACACATTTACACACCTTCATTCCGTCATGTACATTTACTGATTTCTTTAACTGGACAGACAGACGTGAAGCAAATGGCACAAGTCTCGACAAGCAGCTACCCGTTCCCCCTGTCCCAGCTAATTTTCCCCTTAAAACACTGCTTCTTTATTCTCTATGAATGAAAAAAAAACTCTCTCTTTTTCCACACACACTCACACATTAAACAGGGGACTTCCAGCAACTAAGAAATAGCAGCGTAATTGCCGGTGCTCTGTTGTCTATCAAGACCTGACCTTTTCAACATGTGTGTGTCGTGTTTGGAGCGATGGGAACCGGCGAGGAGGAAGACAGGGGTCTCCCCAGCTCTGTGGTGGTCTGACCCAATTCTACCTCCTCTTTTTTCTTTTCTTTTTTTCCCCTCATTTCAACCCCCCCCCCCCCCCCCCCC